GCCCGCGAGAGGGGGGGGGTGGGGGGGAGAGTGAGCGAGCGGCTGCGTGGTGCTTAGCTGCCAGCCGGGTTAAACCACGACACAGAGGTGTGATTTTTTCAGATTTTTTTAATGCAAATATTTAAGAAATTACTTACTATGTCAGTTTTTTGGCCACCCTTGCTATCAGTCTTTCAAAATGCAGAAAAAAATACAAAGGAAACTGCCAGGCAAACAAGCTTTTCACATGCATAATTTGCATCAAACTATATCCTGATATCAAACCACAGAAAGTAATTTAAGTGCTTCCTTCTTCACTGTACTGTTTTCATTCTTACAAATGGTCAGAGATTTTGGCAAGGGAGACAGAATAAAACCAAACTTGCTTTTTCTGGCTTCTGTCTTCAGGAACTGAGGGTTATTTCTTACCTGGAATAATAGTGTAACTGCTTGCTCTCATCTGTAGAAGACAGAGATGTGGTGGGATGACCTCTTGTAAAAACACCACATCTGGACTGTATCTGAAATTGGCAAGATGAGATTTTAAATGAACTACTGAAAGGTAGCACTGTTACACTCTGAGGCCAAATGGAACATGGTCAAGGATTTCAGGTGCACCTTGTTCTTGTCCTCCTAGATACTGCAAGAACCTGTTTTGTTTTCTTTTTTTTTTAAAAAAAGAAAAAACTCTCTCCATCATATCTAATAGCATGTATACACATCACCATTGTTATAAGGGAGGAAACAATGATTATTAAGGACGTGGGACTGACACGGTAATAAAATGCATGACTTCCTTACCCCTTGATCTTGCAAACATTTGCACAGGTTTCACATACTTCATACATGAGGAATTCAACTTAAGCAGCTGCAAAGCAGCTCTGGAACATGTTATGCAACACCTAAGTTCTCTGGGAGATTCCAACCACCACCTCATTCCCTTACAACAGATACTCTCAGGTAACCTGGCATTCATTTTCTCCAGTCTCATCGATGCCAAGCTCTTTTATTTCTTAGAGCTCTGCAATCAGTAACAGTTCATGTGGGGCAGCAATCCTGAAAATGCTGATTTAGACATGACTTTACAGCTGTCCCTGTTTTTGCTACACTGAAGAATAGCCCTGCTCTAAGCAGGTGAAGGACAAACCTAAGGTCTTATTTACAGAAGAAAAATATTGTCACCCCAGATTAACAAAATCAAGTGAAAATTGATTTAATTAAGGGGTTTCTGCTGTTTTAAGAGGAACTTAAATTATCACTTGTTTAAATAATCTAATTTACGCTGGTAAGTTACTGTATTAAGATAAATCAATTTATGTAATTATTAAATTGCTCATAAATATACTCATGGGAGGCTCCCACTGGTGGAAATATAAAAGTTAATCACAGATTCTACTGCTTTTATCTTACCTTGCACATTTTATTTTTTAATAGACAAGTAACAGTAAGGGCAAGAGATCCACTTGTCACATTTCACTAAAGAAATCTTTTGTCTTGTTTCGAATGGTTTTCTCTAGTGTGGAGTTATTCATACCACTGGAATGAGACAAACAACTTTCCTGCAGTTTTACCCTTCTCTCATGTACACGGTGGAAGTAAGAAGTATGCTCCTGATGTATGACTGCAGCTTGAAATTGTTCATTATAAAAAAAGCTTTTTAAAGTAGCCACCGCAAAATATTTAACCTTTGGGATGCTGCATAGGTTCACATCTCTTCCAACCCATATATCAACTTTTATTCAGCTAATATTGTTGCATCTAACGTTAAGATACTTTGGGCATGAAGATTTGTAAATATCTAAACCAAGAAGCTTGCTTTTTCCTTTAAAGCTGGGTACATGACAATACAAAGATGAAGCTATACTTACAGTGCTAGGTAAGAACAGATTCCTCTAGCTCGTTCCTTTAGATTTCCTGGATCCAGGCCATCAACATTCCAGGTTATCAGTGAGAAGCTGCTGTCATCTTCTTGTTGCCTCGAGTCTGCACTACTGACACCGGCATTACTAGTAGTCGCATCTGCTGTGAGGTCAATACTAAAAAGAAAGAGTTTACTTGTTTGTCAACACGCATAATACTATTCTTCCTGCAATTACCTCCCTTATCTTCTAAAAGAAAATGTTTTAGACCCATCACAACTTACAGGTGGCCATCTAAAACTTTCCCAACAAATAAGTTTACACTTACTGAGCTCAACATAATTTAAAAGCGCAGTAACTCAAATATACAGACCTCAGTCATACAGAGACTTAGCACACAGGTGAAGCAAGTGTTTTTTCCTCCTCCTTAAAGACGCAAGATAACATTTACCATTCTGATTTAAGTGAATCAGACAGCGACCAATGTAATCCAAAGCACTTGAGTAATTCTGTATATTTGTTTTTCAAACATTTTCCAGCATATCAGAAACAAAGACCTGCAGCCAGGACTCACTTTTATGTGCCCGTCTTCATAGTACAGCCGAACAGTAGTGCAGCCAATCGCCGAACCCCCTAGGGAGGTACATGTGCAAACTCACCCTGTGACAGAGGGATAGTCCTTTTCTTTGGGAACATTCACCCTAAATCCCACCTTAAAAACATAGGTCCTGCCTACCCTGTTAATTTGATAAAGTCAACTATTAAAGTTTGAGCGCCTAGTCTAGTGACTGTTTGGGGACTATATTGCTAAAGAAAACCAGACTCTACCTGCTAACACCTGGTTATACTGGTTTTGGCTGGGATAGATTAGTTTTCTTCATAGCAGCTCATATGGTGCTGTACTTTGGACTTGTGACCAAAAGAGCGTTGGTATCACAGGGATGTGTTAGCTGTCACTCAGCAGTGCTTACACAGCGTCAAGGCCGCCTCTGCTGCTCCTGCTGCCCCACCAGCGAGTGGGCTGGGGGTGGGCAGGAAGCTGGGAGGGGACAGAGCTGGGACAGCCGACCCCAACCGACCAAGGGGATATCCCACACATATACAACATTGTGCTCAGCAATAAAAGCTGGGGGAAGAAGAAGGAAGGGGGGGACATTGGGAGTGATGGCATTTGTCTTCCCGAGTAACCATTACGCGTGATGGAGCCCTGCCGTCCTGGAGATGGCTGAACACCCGCCTGCCCATGGGAAGCTGTGAATGAATTCCCTGTTTTGCTTTGCTGGCATGTGCAGCTTTTGCTTTGCCTGTTAAATTGTCTTTATCTCAGCCCACGAGTTTTCACACTTTTACCCTTCTGATATTCTCCCCCATCCCTCTGGGAAGAAGGGAGTAAGTGGCTGTGTGGGGCTGAGCTGCCCACCAGGGTTAAACCACAACACTGATCCAATGTAAATTCCTTGAGTAAAGGGAACGTCTGTAACAAAACACATTAAATAGTGCAGCTAAGATTAGACAAACTATATTTTGGCAAAGTTGGGATACTAGAGTTTTGGTTTTAAACACAGAATTTGTATGCACACATGAAAATAAGGCCTGGAACCAAAAGAAATCTATCCCTAGAACTTAGTACTCTTCTTGTACTTGGTACTATACAAACAATGTAAGATTTCACTGCCATGTACCTGTTATCAAAATTGAACATAAAAAGAAAAGTAGACAAAGGGGAGGAAGCTAAGGGATATTTAAGCAGGTAAATAACATGGTATATGCCTCTAATGTTTCCATGTTGACTTTTTATATTTCTACCGTAACCTGAAGGACTATGAATGAGATGAAATATGAAAGTCTGTGTGGCCTGCAGTGATCTTTCCCTGACTGGGAGGTCTCCAGATAGTTCTCCCTCCCAACACATCTGGCATATAACAGCTCAAGAGAGAACCCACGGTGCAAAGACAGACAGATGCTGGAAAAGGAAAAGGTAAAGCCGATTCGCTACAGATACATTCTGACACATCACGGACTACCCAGAGACCAACGCTACTGTTCAGTAGGCTTGCCTTTTTTTTGCACATACATATCAAGCAAAACCAGGTATACTGTTATCAAATACAGCTTATTGACACCTATAAAGATCATAAGTGCTCTTCTATATAACGTGCAAGTCCGTCATAAATAACTCTACAGGGAAGAAGCTTCCCTCAGGACAGTGAATAACAGGGATCTGTAAAAGTTCAAAACCCTTGGTATGTTTTACGGGTGTGCTGCGAGATCGTCAGTGTAAGACACAGATCTTAGATCCTAGCTTCCATAGGTATATTTAACAAGGTGTGCATGTATGTGTCGACTTTATTTACAGAAATATAAATACGCATACATCTGGTGTATGACACGCCTGTGCAGTTAATGCATACCCAAATACATGTGCGTGTGCAGTAAAACCTGCATATGTATTGCTGCACACAGCAAGACAACGAAAAGAAAGTTACCTCGTCCCTTCTCCGAAAGGCTCTCAGTCTCCTAGCCCAGAGGCAGGCGGCTGAAGCACCCACAGAGGGAAAGCGCAGCCCCCCAAGCCTGGCAGCCTCTCAGGAGGAGCTGGCTGTTCCCCTCGAAGGGGGCGGCCTGGGGCAACAGCAAGAACTAGCGCGGAAACCTAGGCATGAGGAACGGACTCTGCCTGCCCCACCGCCCGCCGGCAGAGGTGCGAGGTCAGGCGCGGAGGGGCGCGACGACCCGGGAGATGGCTC